ATTGCTGCTGTTTCCAAAGCTAAAATAAGGCAGACACATGACTTCAGTAACTGCATGTGAAGTTTACATACTATGACTCATCATAATAAACCTAAATAAAATCCCAGTGTGCTATTAAAGCTGGAATACATTTTCCATTCTAAATTATTTTAGGTTTGATTTGGGTTCTTTTTTACAGCTGTAGAGCAGTAGAATATCTCAGGGATATAAACTCTTTGCCATTGCAGGATATAAAGTTCTGGTCGTCATGAACGGACCTACTGTAAACTACAGCAGAAGGTTGTCTTATTTTTTGTAGAAACTCTGGCACTAGAACTTTTACAGCAGTGCCAAATGCTAGACAACGAGAGCAGCTGGGAAAACAAATGGAAAGAAGAAAGCAGAGGAAGAGTTGCCTCTCAAGCTTTAACTTAGGCTGTCTTTTCAAGAAACTGCCACTTCCAAATAACTATTTTATAATTGTACTGTAAGATACCGGCAGATGCCACAAGTGAGGTATGTGTAGCATGTGAGTTGCCTGCTGTATCTGAAGAACCACCTAGCGAGGGTCTAGCACAGTGGGAGGGGGAACATGACCAGCCTGATTGTAGGCACCAGTGAGGTTAGTCATCCTGCTGAGTCAGCCAGAGACACAAGCACCTCCAAAGGGTGCTTCTGCCTACTTGTCATCTAACATTAGACAGATAAAGTTACATGGTATAGGCCTATCATTATAGACTCATTTGCATGCTCATTTATGCATGAAATTCATCTTACGTGGATGATCTGGATTACCAGATCTACATCTCTTCAATGTGAAGTAAAGCTGGTGTTGGACTGGGCAGGGTCTTGCAGTGGGTGTGCTTTTAGGGCTCTCCTTGCAGCTGCTCTCAAACAAATGCAGGAAGTAAGAAAAGGCCAAACAAATGTCCCACTAGAATTCACGTTAATGCAGATCTAGCACCAGAAGTGGGGCACCAGTGTTTGAATTCTGACAAGAAAGTTTCTAAAAAGGGTCTAGGAGAACGGAATGGATTACACAGCAGATGTATCCAGCCCACTGCAAGCAGTTCTACCTCTTCATCCACCTCTGCCTTCAACTTGCATAAGAACTAATTCTTGGGTGGTTACTTCAGTGGTGTGAATTCCCACTTACCAGGACATGGTAATTTTTAATACTCCGTATTTACACAGGTATTGTAAAGTTTCTGTCTAGTCAGTCACAAATTTTCAGGCATCAAGACTCTGTTCCAACAAGCAGGAAGAATTGGGTTTCTTCTGTCTTCACAGATAACTTTCCAAGAAGTCATCACCTGAAGTTTGATAAGCATGCAGTTTTCCTTGTCACACTCCAAGCAAAATGACAACATAGCTGGAATCAGAAAGTCAGAGTTATTTATTGTCTTTTTTCTCTAATGTGTATGTGTATGACTAGTACTGAAATAAACCTGGCAGGAGTGTAGTTTAGCTAGTTTAGCTTTAGCTTTAGAGGACTTTCCACCCTGTTGAAATGCTTACTGTGTTCCACTGCCTCAGGCCACAACCTCGTACTGTCATCCTTACTCAAAGATTTTTGTTGCTATCATTTAGTGTCCCTGTAGGAAGAAGCCCAACTGCACAAATCCCACTGGCAGTTTAGGGGTGCTAACAAAGGTTTAGGGATGCTGTTACAAAGGTAATACAATGCATGTAAAATGCGTTACAGTCTTGTACAACTCTTGTCTGATGATCTGAGGGACTCATCTCCCAGTTTGGCATGCAGTACCCACTGAAGTCAGTGTAACTATCGTCTCCAGCAACTCATCCTGGCATTGGATCATGATATTCATAACACAATTTTGGTTTAAAGTGCCAAGAGAGAGGAACTGTATTGTGTGACTGTTCACAACTCTTGTTGTGAACACTCTGCACTCTTGTTTTGGCTGATTTTTTGTCTCTTTCAAAATATTTTTCTTTTGTAAAACTCATCTGAGTATCAGAAGAGAATTTTCCTTTTCTCCATCTTTCCTCTTTTTATTGCAGTATTAGCTGTAATTAAATGTCAAAATGCAGGGACATCATTACCTGAGATTCTTCTCTTCCCAAACAATTCCTGGAACTGAAAATTAATAAAAAGAGATACACCTTTCTAGTTACTCATCTCGTTGCTTATTTTCAGCTTTTGACAGTGCTTTCTATGAGCTCAGTTTCACTGCTTTCTCCCTGGTTTATGGTTCCCTTGCTTGTGTGGAGCCTTTGATGCTGCAACAGGATAAAGCACGGAAAAAAAAGAAAAGTACTGTGACAAAAGGACAGGCATCGCCCCAGGGATTCATGGACTGAAATATCTTTAACATTCTGAAAAACTGACTAGTTGGGAGTTGACGGTATCCATTTATAAACAGTTTATGCTAAGAAATCCTGGTTAGTCTTATGAGCAAGTTCTGGCTGAGCAGAAGTGCTAATGACTTTTTTGAAATGAAAAACATTTCGAAAGACAAAAATATCTGGTACTGAAATCTCTCACAGTCCTTGTTTACAATTTCTGTGTGATCCTTTTTCCAGGTTTATAATGACTGCTTGCCTTGCCAGCAGAACTTACAACTTTGTGGATTTGTCTTTAATGCTGTAATTAAACCCAGGATGATTTTCATGGGCCCAGAATAATCTGTAATTTTTGTGAGAGCTCTGCCTTTCAAGTGGCCTTGCATAAGATACAATCTTCACTGACCTAGGCATGCAGACACTATTTTTTTATATATACTCACTGATGTTTTCATCAAAGACCCATGTACTTTCGGGGTTCTTTCAACCTGAAACATTTGGGTAAAAGTACAATTTTCCCAGTCTTTCTCACGATGTTATAGCATGTTTAAGTTATCTTTCTAAAACACTCCTTTTTCTTCTGCCAGTGTGCCTCCAAACAGCTTGTCTCTTCTAGTCCTTCTATAAGAGTTAAGGACATGCTCTTTTACAATCCTTTCAGACTGGTTTTCTTCCAGAGTGACGTTTTCCATTGCACTCTCTACCCACTTAGGACACAGTCTGGGGACCCTGCAGTGACTCCTTAGCATTCCCAGAGCTGAGCAGTCTAAAGACCAAAACCTTCTTGTTCTTCTTAAATAGGGGATCATTATGCAGTGTAAGACCCAAAATCTGATCTCCTACTTTTTCTCTGTATTTGTAGAAGGAGTGGATATTCCTTATTGCACAACAAAAAGACGAGACTGGAATCACACACACACACTCAGCAGGGCAGAAATGTACTACGGCAATAGTCACTAAGGGGTAGTAGAGGCAGAGAGTTAGCTCCTTAAATGTGAATTTATTCTTATTGGAACATGTAGCTATTTTTGAAGTCTGAAGTTTCATTAACATGATTCCTTTATGGATAACTTGTCCTTAAAGGTTTTGTTCTGGGAATATTTCATGTAAGGAGTTTTGAGTCTTGAACCTGTTTGTGCCTGGTAGTATTAATAACCCAGGGCAGAGAATGTTTATATAGTACTGAGCCCCACGACAGCTCTTAGAAAATAATGAAATAAATCACTGGCTATGTTTCTGTTTAAATACAGTGCTTGCCCTCTGTGGATACAGATCTTCTGGATCCTGCTCAACAGCCTCATTTGGGTAAACCTGAATACTGTGCCAATTTTATTCCATCTCCTTTAATGTATGGCAACAGTACAGACAACACATTGGCTGACAAAGAACTCGGAGTTCCCCATCTAAACACCTAAGAAAAAGCCAGAGTCCCTGGAACCCACACTAAAATTATCTACCAGGAGTCTTAATTTTTATACACATATACAATTAAAGTAGCAAAGGAAAGGGGTAAATACGTCCAAATCAGCAATTGCAGCACGCAGGAACCATTAGGGTCCAAACTGACTGCCCATTCCAGACTTCTAGAAGTGTGCTGAAAATAATCAGGACTGGAAAGTTACTCTGACTGCTACCGAGGGGATGCCCAACCATATGAAAGCCAACACAGAACTAGCAATGTCAAAAAAACCCACACTAGCTAACAGTTTTAAAGCACTGAGCAGAGAGAAATTGGGAAGACTGGAGCTATTGCAGTCTATGAACTTGGCCTTTGCAACCCACACACACGTGCAGAAGCTGTGTGCTGTAGAGAGAAGCTGTGTGTTTTACTTCGGAACACCTTGAAAGCTTCTCAAGAATCCAAGCACTTAAGAGACGTTTCAGAGAAGTCATACTGTGGTTGACTGTGCCTAGCTCACATACGTTTTCAATAGAAACATTGAAAATCATTTCAAGAGTGAGGTGTATCCCCATTAAACTTTGAGCTGAAGAACGTACAGAGCTATGCTAGATCGGTTTCTGGTACAGCCTGGCAAAATACTTAAGATGCTACCTCATCCCAAATGATCCCCTAAAACCCACTGGTATCTGTGTAATCTCCTACCACCAAATCAGTATTAAATGTGTAGGTGAGGTTACTGTATTCTCAGTCTGATTTAATCTCTTTTCCATCAGGAGCTGGCAAAGCTGAGAAATACTTTATGGCTAAATTCAGCATATTTTATGTGTTTGTGATACTTGTAGTTTCTTATTTTGAATATAAAATATAACTAAAGAGAATCCCTATAAATAATAAAGTTGTCATGCATTTAGTATGGAATCATAATACTTACATTAATCAAAATATTTGTAACATTTGTCTATAACTTTGTTACTGCAGAGTGGGCTTTGAGCTGGTACAGAAGACAAGAAAGGACAAAATTCAACTCCAGCAACCAGTGAATGAAGAGTTCAGGTATTACAAATTGAAGGTTCTGCAAAACCAGAGTGAAATGCAGAGTTAAAAGCCTCTGGCAGTTCTGGAACAGAAATTTAGTCTGCTGCTACCACTAGGAAGCAATAGAATCTGGGGGAAAATGGGAAGGGATCAAGAAGTGGGGTGAGAGACAAAAGCTCTGAATGGTGAATTTGCTATCCAAGACGTCAAATGAAGGCTGCATGCCCTGTGAATTTCGACAGTCCATCATAGATTTTTAGGTCCAGCAGCGGGTCTTCTAGTCAGTTACACAGGAGGCCAAGCTAGACAATCTGGATGGTTTAGGATGTGCAGATGGAGTTTCAGCACTGTCTGATGCTTGCTTTCTAACAGTACTTGTAGCAGTATTGAATGGTAAATTGGCAACTGAATAGCAGCATGCTGGCAGCACAGCAGTTGTAGCAAGAGATATATGTGTATCTTGGTGGTGCAAACATGCCCCTTGTCAGCAGTGGATTCTAGAGTTGGTGTTAATAGTAGAAGTAACACAAGTGTGTCTGCTTGCCATGGGGGTGGCCAGCAGTCAGGCAGCCTGCGTTAATGGTAGTTGTGGGGGCACTGAAATGAGGAGCTGAAGGTATCATCTGAAAAGAAATCTCTGTGGAAAGGATAAAGGGAGATACCATTCTGCATGCCTGGGCTAGTGTGAATTCATCACGCTCCGTGTTTGAATGGGAGCCAGGTATATCATGCAAGTAACTCCTGTTTGCTGTGCCTGACCTAAATCCAAGTGTTGCTTTGTCAGGCTTTGTCCGACACGTGTTCTGTATCCCTACTATGTAGGAACACTGCTGGAGACTGGGTGTTAGCATTGGAAACATGATGATTCAAACACACAAGTATGAAGGCTGTGTTGCAGCAACAGGGAGGAAGTGGGGACATGTAACCTTGCCTTGTATTTTATGGAGGTCAGAGATTTCAGTTCATGTTAAAAGAATTCTTATTTGGGAAGTTTCAAAGCATTAAATATAGACCATGTTCACATGCTAGATGGCAGTGAGGCTCCGCAAGCAACCCGCTTCCCTGCTAACAATGCTTGTGGGGATATACTGTGTTGGTTGGTTGGTTGTTCATTAAATAGTAGTTTTTCAGGATTGACATCTCTCAGAGCCCAGCCATGCAACTCCATTGCCTCCCCATTCCTTGGCAACATTACCCCTAGCAAGAATGCACATCTGGTACAAGTCCTTGAGCTGCCCTGATTTGTTCCTTATCTTCAGTCTCACTGGTTTTGAGGAAGATAGGAGCATTACACAAGGGGCCTTAGGGTGATAAGCATCTGCTATTTGAGCCTCTGCCTTAAAACTATCGCATTGCCATAAATGAATAAGTTCCCAGTAGCAAGAAGACAGGAATTACACTTGATAGGAAGACTGCCAGCTGCCAGCTCTTCTGTGATGTCTTCTGTGATGAGATCCTGGTAGGATATCTGTGTGAATACTGAACCCTACTCACCGCTGATACTGATGACAAGGCTGAACAGAGCAAATGCACTCCACCCCCAGATGATGCCAAGGTCCTTTTCTCAGTAGAACAGTGGGTGAGCTTGGTGTTTAGGGCAGAGAGGGTGATGGTATCATCAGTGAGAAATAAGAAGACAACATCTTTCTATTTCAAATATCCATGTTTAAAGCCTACACAAACAAACATACATAAAAAATAAGCAGTAATTAAATGGAAAAGAGAATCCACAGGCCAAAAAAGGGATGCCAAGAATCAGCATGGGGAGGGAAAAAAACAACTTTTGGTCTAATCAGGTGAAAAATGCATAAAGTTGCTAAGAAGCAGTGGTTTTGGTGCAGCAAGAAACTCTGTCACAAGTTATGAAGTAGTGGAAGTGAACTCAGTTAGCTTGGTGCATATTCCCCCTCATGCTCTTTGCACCAAGCATGGGGTACCATGTATGTACAGTTAGCCAAGCTCACACACCCAGAGTGCATGTGTCACCACAGTACAGTGGTTACGAATGCTGTCACTCAAAGAAGAACACGGAAATATGCAAAATTACCTTTTTGGAGGAAGGAGGAGGGGTGAAGGAGGAGGCGAGAAGGAGGTGACTGTATCTTGAGAACCCCAGCTAAAACTGACCTACTGTTTGGACTATCAGCATGACTGTCTATTCTCTCACTTACAGAAGATTTCAAGACAACATGACAGATGTGAATTTGTGAGAATGTGGAATAGTCTAAACCAAGAAACAGTCTTTGGCTTTAATTAGGCCACTACTCTTGTCCTGCTGGGGGGTCATCAGGGCTCTGAGTGCACCAATAGCTCTGAGGCACCCTGAGAAGCCCAGACTGGGACCCCCACCCTGTCACTGCTTGCCTAAGAGCATCATGCCTGGGGCTACCTGTGGCTACCTGGGGCTCCCAGCTAGTCTTGCCATGTGGAACACCCTGCTCCTGCTGCTCCCTGACATATACCTGAAAGAAAAAAACAAAACCATCTCAAAAGCAGAGACTGTATTTATGAATGAACATCAGACTTGCGAAGCTAAATTAAAATCAGTGCTATTGCAGGATGACAGGAAAATACATGCTTACAGTACCTGAATCAAAATCTCAGTGTATAAGGTTACAGGAAGAGAGGCTGTACAAAATCTTTAGATATTTAATCACTTGTGTGTTTCCCTATAGAAAGGAAATAGATTAGTTCTCCTATGGAGAATTCATTAGTATTCTATCATTGAAGAGTCAGTATTTTTAGCTTAGTGAGTTTAAGATGTATTGTGGTTTGGGCCTCAGAAGTTACCGGCTCTGAGTAACAGAAGAAAAAAATAGAGTGTGTTAGGAACTGTACAGTGACTTTCTGAGATCTTTTGTGAACCATCCTCCTTGCTTGCTGGTTAGCATTAAGTGCCTCAACTCCATTTCAGGAAGGTGGTGATTAAACTGGGTCAAATGGAAGTGATTAGATTGGATTATCCGTGTCATGGAAAAAAACACTGGAAGATCTAAGAGGGAGGAAATTGCCACTCACATCCCAGCAAGTTCTGCTGGAAGGTGTATGAATTTACTTTTCCCCCTGCTGAAGAGCTTTGGCACACCCAGGATCCCTCTAAATGCCTCAGACTCAGTTTAATATAATTGTTTTCGTCTTGGAGATTCCTTAGGACTGGTAAAGAAAGCAGTTGCCCTAGCATCACTTCCACTTGTGTGGCTCACCCCAGGTCTACTTGTGCTAGGTTTTGGAAGTGTCCTTGAAGTTGCTTTTACTTAGGGGTTTTTAATGAATAAAACTCTTCTCATTTCTGGTGCTAAAAATTCCTATGGAAATGTTCAGGTGGACAAGGAAGAATAACACCATGCCTGCTGGGAGGGCAACCTCTGGAAGGCCAGCAAGGGGACCCAAGATGGAGAAAACAAATCTTGGACTTGAGACTGGGCTGAGAATTGTGAATGCACAGGCTGCTGTGGGTATGCACCAGCACATCTGCAACACCTCCAGTGCTTTGGATTTGCCCAGCACAAATGCCCATTGGCCATGAGATGGGTCTGTGTGTAGCCTGTGTAGCAAGGCCACATGCAGCAGCATGAACCTCAGATTCGCTGTGTGCTACAAACAGGTTCCTGAGGGCCCAGGTCAAGTACAGTACCAGGTGTTGTACTTGCAATCAGCCCTATAGAAGCATCTAACCTACACAGGCAACCTGCACATGATTTGTGCAGCACTCCTGAGGTCTGGGGTAGACCTCAGAGTACACACATCCCCTGGCAAGCCTCTCACTCAGCACAGCCCCAATTTAAGGCCACCCTCCATAATGTGATCCTGCCACAGAGAAGTAAATATTTGGTGACTGCTGTAATTACTAGGACGTAAGCAGTATTTTATTGCGGGGTTTCCTGTTGGCCAGCAGCCGAGCTGCTGCTTCCTCCTGGTGACATCTCTGACTGCTCTCTGCAGGCCTGGCTCCACCACTCTATTTCACTGAGATTTTCAGCAGCCGCCATGTCACCGAGCCCTCAGTCATAACCCTTCACCCCTCGTGCCACCAGAGAAATGATGGCCCTGGGGGAATGGGGCTGAGAGACGTGCATGTGTACGAGCATGTGCATGTGCATCCGCTTGTGCACACAGCTGTGTTTATTTGATGTTGCATATAGGAGAAAAAGAGGATTATTTATGTTCTAACCATGATGTGTTCCCAAGCAAAATATTTTCTGCTCTGATTTATTACTCTCTTTAGGCCTGCTCTCAAGCATTGTTCTTATAGTTGGAGCCAGTCACATTTTTTCCATTTGGAAATGGAAATCTTAAATGGAATGGCATATTTAGTGGAAAAACCACAATAGTTTCACTTCTCTGTTTTCCCATTTTATGTTTGCTTTCTTTCTCCCATCTTTCTTTTTACCCTTTCTCCTAATTTATCGCTGGAAAAAAGAAAGAGAAACAGTATCTGGAGAAAAGGCAGAAGCAATTTTTTTCCCCTCATTTTTGGCTAAGGAATTAGAACAGTTCAAAAGGTTTTACTAAGAAAAAGTCCACATGAAAAGTACCTGTCATTTTCTGATTAGCACTGTTGTACTGCTGATCAAAAGTACCCAGCCAACAAACCAAATTAAAAATGCTTATGCGCTATACAGGGCCAGCACTTCTTTACTTTATAGTGCTTCACAAAGCTTATGCAAATGGCCTTAGAGCTTGGTTTTCTTTTTATCTCACAAATATCAAAAAAGAGAGGTCCCCCCTACCCTCAGCCTTCTTTTGCTAGATGACTTCTCAGAGAACCAACAAAATCAAATTACTTTTGTAGGCTGCTCTTAGAAGATACAGGAGAAAGCAGATCTTTAACAAATTAAGCTTTTCTCCCATGTGTTGTTTCTCACTTTTGATTCAAACAATCTCAGAAGAGTTCTTACACAGACTGAATAAAAATTCTTTTAAAATCCTGTTTAAAATCTCCACTTTAATTACCCTCAGTAGCTTAGGATTCATTTCTGGTTTGAGGCATGAAATCCCTTCAGCTCCATTGCCTACACAGCAAAAAGAGCAAGAACAAAGCAGAGATTATGAAAAAAAAACCCAACAAACAAACCCAAGAAAATAATGACATTTTCTTTTTTAAAAAAAGCTCATCCATCATTATGCCATGAAAAAAACAAAAAATACCAAAATCATACACTTTTTTCCTCCCTTGTGCATCTCATCTATCAAGCAATAATAAATCCTGTGCTATTGTATTTGGTTTCTAAGCTGGATGCACAGACCATAGTGGCTGTAACCTCCAGGGATGTTGTCACCAAACAAATGTTGCCATTAAAGTGTTAGTAGGAGGTCCATTAGGAAATGCAAAGAGAAGAACAATTTTTTTTGTGGGGTTTGGTAGGAAAAGCAACTAAATCTGAAGTACATCTGGGTGCTCTTAAATTAGAAATCTTTAGGAGGTCTCCCACACATCCGTGTAAGATTGCAAGTTTGAGCTGTGCATTGCTGCAGATACACTTCACCTCCTCCAGCTTCTCTATCTATTTCTTGCTAAGCTTCTCTGTGGCTGTAAGCCTCTCTTGGTTAACTCCCCAGTGGCTTTCTGGGCAACGTCTCACTGCTCTTCCATCTCTCCTTCCAGTTCTCTTAGTTCCTCAGTATGGTTTCAATCCCATGCCTCAGCTGCTCAAGAGGAATGAAAATCAGCTCAGGAGATTCCTCCCCTACTACATTAGCTGCCCCTATTATTTATCTCATTAAGAAAAAAAGCTGGTCCAGATGTGTAACTGAAACAACACATTCTTTTTCTTTGACATTTCCTTGCATTGCTCTTCCCTCTGGGTAATTTTACTGTTTTACAATACAGGTGGAAGGTAGTTTTCCAACATAGAGTGTTGCTTGTCCCCAAATCTGGTGGGTTTGCTGTGAAAATTTTCAGAAACCACGGTCATAGTCCAGTTTGAGACACAGTATTTGAGCACTCCCTTGCAAGGGCTAGTCCACAAAGGCTGTGTTCTGCAAAGGCATCTTAATGCATGTGTAATGCCTGTATCTTAAGCACACGAAACTCACATACACATAAGCAACTGGATTATCTGACCAGATAGATGGGCATTTTTTCCAGATCCAATGGTTAGTTGGGTATATCATTTGAGATAATGAAGAAAGAGAAATAGTTCCTCTCTTATTTGACAATGGACAAAGCAAATATCTTGCATAATGGGAATCTTGGGAACAGCTACCACAATGACTGTGCAGACTTAGAGGTTGCTGCACAAAGAGAATTATTATTACAATGTTTAGTGGGAGGAAAAGAACACCCATCAATTACTATTCTCCAATGCCTTCCCCACTAAGGCTAAAATTAATCTTGATTTGAAACTAAAATATAGCAGAACTCTTGTGCTCGTTGTTGTGGAACAGGAAAGCTCTTCAGAAATCAGGTGCTTCGGGCTAGAGGCCTCTAGAGGTCACCAGAGCCTAATTAAAAATCATTGCTAAAGCCATCTGTGAAATGTAAATTGCTTTGTTTTGATTGGGACTTTCCCCCTCTGCAGCTCTGGGTCTCCCCTCTCGCAAGGAATCCAGATTGTCATTAGGTGGCGATTAACATAAAATGCTTGCAAACCCACACTGTCCTGGAAAAGGCCGGGCCATACAGGAATCCTCTCCTTTTTGAGTAAGAAAGCAGTCTCCTGACTGATATCTTTTCCTCTGCACACATTTCCAATCTTACCTTCGTGCTTCTGTGATAAAACCTGTTCTGGCACAGATAGAGCCCCTTGTGTCCCACAGGCAAGAGCTTTGCCACACCTTTGTAAGCCCAGAGAATGCCACGAGCATACCAAAGTGAGAGGGATGTCAGTTCTTTCTCTTGTGCTGAATTCAAATGGGAGCACAGGCCAAGCGTGCACATTAGGTAACTGGCAAGGATTTTTCTATGTACATTTTTGCCTTGCAGATTATGATCTGCAAACACAGGAAAGGCTGTAAATCATAAGGTATCCTTTCGGGTCACCCAGTGCTATGTCTACAGGGAAGGTTTACAGAAGAGCTGCAATTTAATTATGATTAAGGGGTTGTCATGAGGCCAGAGACCTCATCTGCTTCATGCAAAAGCAGAAGGGAAAGCTCAAGTAATTTTCCTGGAGCTCTTTCCAGTGTTTAGGAATGAGACAGGCTGGGGTGGGGGGGTGTGGGGGGGTGGTGTGTGTGTTTGGAGGGAGAAAGCTGAATACATTTGAGGGAAAATATTTACTTCAAGAAAGCAAACAGAAGCTGGTCCTTTCAGGAGAAATTCCTCTGAAGAGAGCAAAGGTATTTATTTCAGGAGCAGTCACTGGAATGCAGGTCTGTGGTGTCTCAGCCAAGTGATTTTTGTCTCTTCTGGAAAGCCAAAAGAGCTGAATACAGATTAATAGCCTGTGGCTTGCCAGGATGCTGAGGGTGGAATGGGGAGTGGGGGGAGAGCTAACATGGGGGGATCCTCATAAAGAGCTCCTTTGCTTTTATATACAGGATACTGCAGGCCCAAGATGTTTCCTCAGAGTGCAGGGGGTTTTTCTGGGTGCCCAGCAGGAGCCAAGGCTCTGCCCCTTCCAACAGTCTATGTAGTAGCTCCTTCCCGTGAAACTTCCATAGTGGCAGCTGATGGCCTGCACAACTTGTGCCCTTCCCTGGGAGCAGCAGCCCAGGGTGATGGGATCACCCCGAGTGTGTTTGCTGGGCATTAGCAGCTATGTTATTTTTGCAGACTGGAACTGTGACACTGCAACCTGGCTGGAGTCCACACGTGGGCTCCTAATCCCACACAAAGACCTAGAAAGGTCAGCAGACCACAAACACAGGTATGTGCCCACCTGAAAGGTCAGGCATTACTGTCATTGTAGCACACCACTCCCAGAAAGGAAACCCTCATATGAATCTTACTTTTAAATCTTTATTTCCTTTCCTTTCAAAAGATGCCTTGTAGATCTAGGGCCATCCCTTCTTGGTTCCCTTCTCAAGGCCAGATCCTAGAGAAACCTTGCTCCTTCTTCTTTCCCCTCTCCAAACAGCAATCTCATCAAAATTTCTAGGTGGCTGCCATCTGTCACAAGCAAAACACCACCCTTTTTGCTATTTACAGTGCAATTAACCTTTACCAACTTAGCCTCAGACTGTCATGAGAGGATTAATTAAGGCAACACACCCTTAACTAATTCCCACCATGGAAGCAGCGTGCTGTATTTGCAGCAGCTTACCCACGACACTGACAAAACTCTTCCAGAATTGCATCGTGGCAGGAGAGGGAAAGGTGGTTGTATCCTGTCTGCATCATCCCAGCAATTTTGCTAGCCCTGGGGAGATGTGCAAGGAATGGCTTCAACAGACACAGTGCTGTGGAGGTACCTATGGTGATGTGAGACCTGGCCTTCCCCAGAAGTGTGTGTGGGTGCTTCCCCACTGCTGAGCATTACTGCTCTGGTAGCCAGGATGTGGGACCCCACCGCAGGCGAGTGGTGTAGTTCAAGCTGCCAAAGAATGAAGTTACTGCCAAAATATTGGGCTGTGATGTGCAGCAGCTGTGCTTTGGAAACATACCCTGTTTTGCCTAGCACCATCAGACTTCCATCCAGACTTCTGTGCACATGTCTAAGAGGCGTAATTCAATACACAGTTCAAGGCTTCCTGAGAGCCTCAGACCTCTGGCCTTGTATAGTGGAGCTGATCTGTGCAGGGCGTGCTTGGGTTATGTGGACATCCCTGTGCTTGCTGCCAGGCCCTGGAGAACCCCAGGCAGATCAGCCAGTTCTCCCAGGCCCAGGACAACCTGAATCCTGGTGGACAAAGAGGTCTTAGCCAGGGAAATCCAGCATGCTGGCCCTGCCTCTGTTGCTCTTCCCACATGGCTGTAGCTCCTGGCAGAGAGGCAGCACAGCCAGTAAAGGCGGTGTTGTCTTAAGCCAAAGCAGCTGCGGTCACCAGAGAGGATACCCTGAAGGCCGAAATCTCAGGACTCAAAGCTGCAGCAGAGAACAGCTGCTGCACAGCAGCACTGTTGGTAAGCAACAGGGTTACAATGCAATACCTATATTGGTGGGCAATGCTTTTGTTGTGCTATCAGTAGTCCCATGTGTCACTCCGTGCTGTCCAGCACAGGCTTGTCCTGCTGCACCTATGCCACTGCCACCTTCTCGTCATGCAGTGAAATCCCCCATGGATGGGTTCGGGGGAGATTGTGTCATCCCAGGGAATGGGGGCTTAGTGAAGAAGAAAACAGCCCTGTTTCACACCATGGCACTGCCTAAAAAGTTTAACAGAGTAAATGATCATTGGTAGTGCCCAACACTTGCATTTATTCAGCACCAAGATTCAAAGGGTGTGACCCATACCACCACTGTTCTGACAGACCCAGGACAGTACTTATTAATTGCAGTCAGATGTAAACTATTTCCTTACGTTTATTTGGTTTTGTATCCATGTGTGTACCTAAGGAACTCATGGATGGGTAGAGAGTCAAGACCTAGATGCATAGTACTGCCATCCTCCTCCGGCTTTACTCTGATGGAAAAACACTTAAGAACCAGCTTGGATGATACCAGCACTGGAACCCTGAGCATGCAGCATGCTCTGATCCAGAAGTACATAAAAACACAGTCTGAGGTAGTGATTACTACCTACAAGTAGGTAATCACATTCAGCATCACCGGGAGGAAAGGCTGAAACAGCATCTGTTGTGATGGTGAACTCTGAACTCTTCACACTGTTACGGTATGGACATTTCTAACAACATTCATAACATCCTAAAAGCTGTCAGGGAGGAGCAAGGGATTATTTGGGTTCCAGCCTTACCCTCCATGTTGCAGCCATACCTCAGCAGCAAGGAGGCTGGCCAAGCCCATGATAGACCTGAAAGGCTGCAGCTTCACAGATGGTGACAGCAGTATGCAAGACTGCACCATGCATTAAATAAGAATAAAATTAATACAAAGTATAGCTGATACAGGATAATAAATGGCTGTACTAAATCATCAGACAACCACTTCTTATGTCCTTGCTGAGAACATGAAAGAGGAGTGACCAATGTAATCTGCTGATTAATGGGCATTATTTGGAAATTCAGATATTCTTGATACATCTGATTCTTGTCAGTTGTAGTAGTAAAACACTCCTGCCCCAACTGAAGCCAGTAGGAACTATAAATCAAAGATATTCAGTGTTTCACTGTAAAGTGAAGTAAGTGGCAGTCTATTGTAAGATGAGCTTTACCATGTCAAGCAGAGCTCAGGCTGAGGAGCTGACACAGCAGCTGTTTGTTGGTGTGACAGTGACCTCCAGCAGACAGGCAGACTGGGCAAATGGCTGTACTAACCTCTTTACCTGTGGCAGCTGATTCTCCCAGCCCTTAGCATGAGGACTTTTTGCCTGTACTGAGGGCATGACTCCCATTTGTCTCAGGAAGAACAGCATGGGATGGATTATCTATCAAGAAATGATGGATGCTTAGGTTCTTCTCAGTTCAAGGCAAGGAGAACCGCTGCATATACGGCCTACACCGATGAGCATGGCCTACTCCCATGAGTCAATCCAGTGAACTGGGTCACCAGCAGTGACCCACATCTTCCATAAGAAGAGCCTCTGATGCCGAAACCCCAGCGGGCTGTTAAAGAACTTAAAGCACTTTTCGTTTCCCCTTCCGGGGCGCAGACGGGTTCATCAGGAACACTAACACGATTACCTCCGCTTTGCGCTACTCAATTACGCCCTAATTAATACAGATAAAAACCGGACAAAAGCAGCTTAGAGCAGCGCCCTCCCACTTTAGGCCCTGCCAAACCGTCGTTGCGTGGCAGCGGCGCGGCGTGACGTCACGGCAGCGCGACAGCCGCCAGTCCTCCCCGCGCCGGAAGGGGCTTGTCGCGGGGGTGACGTGGGCTCTTCCTTTTCTCCGAGTGAGGCCGGAGCGGAGGTAGGAGCGCCCTGGCTGTGTCCCCCATCCGCCGCCATCCGCCCCGGTGCTGCCTCGGTCTGCCCCTCGTCTACCCTCGGCCTCTCCCCGGGGTTGGGGACGGGCCATGGCGCAGCTTACCGGGTGCGCGGGCCGCGGCCGGGTCGGGCGCTGACGGCTGTGGGGACTATGGGGCCTCAGGGGGAGGGAATGGGGAAAGGGGAAAGGGTGTCCCCGCTCAGGACGTGGCTGACGGTGGGTGCCGGCGCGCTGCTCTCTGCCTGCAGGGCACCATGGGACGTGTGATTCGGGGCCAGAGGAAGGGCGCGGGCTCCGTCTTCCGTGCGCACGTGAAACACAGGAAAGGCCCGGCCAAGCTCCGCGCTGTCGACTTCGCCGAGAGGCACGGGTACATCAAGGGCATCGTCAAGGTAGGGGCGGGGGCCTTTCCACGGGTGCTCTGGGCCCCGTGCGAGGAAGGGTGGGAGGCTGCAGGGGCTCTTAGCGGCCTTGTCATCAGGGGCATGGGATCCTGAGGTGCGCATCGTTCTGCCTTGCTTTTTGCAAGGTAGCTGAAGGCCTGTTAGCTGTGCTAAAAGCCGTTTGGCGGCTCCTCGTTGGGGCTTCTCTTGGGTTGTTAAATAAGTCACGTTTCTTGAAATGCCAAGTTACTTTGTGTTTATGACAGCATTTAAATAAACTGGCAGCACATAGATAGCAGCGTGATCTGATAAGAATTTTGCTAACTCAGGAATATCTACTTTTATAGGGTCTTAAGAATTCCCTGTACCTCCTGAAACATGAGGGGGAAGAGTTTTCCACATAGTTTCATCTTTAAAAAATAAATCAGCGTTCATTAACACTAAGTAGTATCCATCACCTTAGTCCTGAGCAGTGGGGGCAAGGCAGGACTGTTGTTTGGGGTACAGTGCAGTGTTTCAGGTGTGCAGTAGGTATTTTTCATGCATCAGTGACTTAGACTGGTACCTAGCTGGGTGCTCTGAGCATCAAGCTGTCTCTTCAGCCTGTCAGAGCAGGGTCATCTTCAGGCTGGAGAAAAAACTTTCTTCATGCTCACTGTAATTGAGTTTTGTGATAAAAAGTAGGTAGGTACATCTGTAGGTATGTAATGCACGGGGGGGAGGTTGGGTTGCCCAACAGGGTTTAAAACAGCAGAAAAAACCCGCTAATGTTGGGCATCAGTCACATCTGAGCTTTCCTAGAAAACACAAATACTGTG